CGACACCTCGAAGCGCGAGCGCGGCCTGACGCGGCACTTCGAGGTGCACGGCGCCGACTCGCAGCAAGAGCGCGGTGATCGCGTCAGCGGCAAGGGACGGCTCACCCGCCGCCGCACCGTCGCCGGCGCCGAGATGACCGAGGACAGCTCGGGACAGATCGTGCTCCCCGAGGTCGATCGCGAGACGTGCGTCCTCGGCCGGGTGCTGCGTGTGCAGGGGCTCGTGAGTCGCGTGCTCGGCGATAACGGTCGTCTCTACGCCTGCGCGACGCGGCAGCTTCTGAAGCAGCTCGCCACCAACCTGCGACACGTCGTCGCCGCGGGCGACCTCGTCTGGGTGCGGCCCGAAGGCCCCACGCCGGCGGAAGGGCTGCCTCAAGAGGGGATCATCGAACGCGTCGAACCCCGCCACGGCGTCCTCAGCCGCACGAGTCGCAATCGGCAGCACCTGATCGCCACGAACATCGACCTGATCGTTGTCGTCGCGTCCGTCGCTGAACCGCGACTGAAACCAAACCTCGTCGATCGCTACCTCGTCACCGCCGAGAAGACCGGCCTACGGCCGATCGTCTGCCTCAACAAAGTCGATCTGGTGGAGCCCGCCGACCTCGTGCCGATCATCGGTGTCTGGTCGCAACTCGGTTACGAGGTGCTGCCCGTTTCGGCCGACACGGGCTTTGGCCTCGACCGACTGCGCGATCGCCTGCGTGGCAAAGAGACCGCGTTCACGGGCCAGAGCGGCGTCGGCAAGAGCTCACTCCTCAACGCGATCCAGCCCGGCCTCGCGCTGCGTGTGCAGACCGTCAGCAGCGAGAGCGAGAAAGGCCGCCACACAACAACCACCGCGGTGCTCTATCCGCTAGGCGAAGACCTCGGTGGCGGCTTCCTCGTCGACACACCCGGCATCCGCAGCTTCGAGCTGTGGGACGTGATCCCCGAAGAAGTCGCGGGCTACTTCCGCGAACTCCGCCCCTACGTCTCAAAGTGCCGCTTCCCCGACTGCACGCACACGCACGAAGACGACTGCGCCGTAAAATACGCCGTCGCCGACGGCTGGATCGACGCACGGCGTTATGAGAGCTATGTGCAGATCAGGTCGGGGGAGTGAATCACCCAGCGGGGATAATTCGCATCCCAACGGCGCCATGCTATGATTTGGGCATGGACAGTAAACTCACCAATTCGCTTTACCAGGGCGTCGTTCGCGACGGCGTGGTTGTGTTTGTGCCTGGTGTATCGCTTCCCGAGGGAACGACTGTCACCGTGAAGCCGGAAGTTTTGGAACAACCTCCCAATCACCGGGCAGACGACAAGGAGGCTCCAATTCGCAACGGCGTGCCGCTATTCCCGAAAAGAGGCGGAATGGCGGTCACACTCGACATCGTGAACTCGCTGCGGGATGACGGCGTGTGACTTACTTGCTCGACGTCAATGTTCTGATCGCTCTTTTCGATTCCGAGCATCTCCACCATGAGGCCATCCCCCCCTTATCTCCATCCATCCCCCCATCTCCTTTCCTGCGTTCCGCCCCAAGAGCGCGCCGACTACTGCGGCGTGAAGTCAGCGTCCGGCTCCAGCCGCAGCACGAACTCCGCCAGCAGTTGCGCCGCGTTGTCGATGTCGTCGAGCGAGACGATCTCCACCGCGGAGTGCATGTAGCGGAGCGGGATGCCGACGATGCCCGTGGCGACGCCGGCGCGGGTGAGTTGCAGCACGTTGCCGTCGTTTGACGCGCCGCGGTTCAGCGCGGCCCACTGCATCGGCAGGTCGGCAGAATCGCCCGCTGCGCGCAGGCGACTGAAGGCGACCGGGTTGATGTTCGGCCCGCGCGAGAGCACCGGGCCGTGGCCGAGCTTGATGTCCGACTCCTGCGTCTTGTCGATCGTCGGGCAGTCGGTGGCGTGCGTCACATCGACCGCGACGCCGACGTGCGGGTCGATGCCGAACGCGCTGGTCGTGGCGCCGCGGAGGCCGATCTCCTCCTGCACGGTGGCGACGGCGTGCACCGCGACGTTGAGGCCGCCTTGCTCCTTCGCGCGGCGGGCGGCTTCGATGCAGACCCACATGCCGGTCTTGTTGTCCATGCCCGGCGCGGTGGCGAAGTTGTTGCGCATCTCCTTGTAGCCGAGCTCGAGCGTCACCGGGTCGCCGATCTCCACCAGCTCTTGCGCCTCGGCCTGGCTCCGCGCGCCGATGTCGAGCCACATCTCCTTCTGCTTGACGACCAACTTGCGTTCTTCTTCATCGAGCAAGTGGATCGCCTTGCGTGAGATCACCGCCGGCACGGGGCCGCCATCCGCGTGGATCGTCATCCGCTGACCGATAAGCTGTTGCGGGTCCCAGCCGCCGATCGGCTTGGAGTAAACGAACCCCTGCTCGTCGATGTAGGTGACGATCAAGCCGATCTGGTCGGCGTGCCCCGCGAACATCACCCGCAGCGGCGCCCCCGGGTTCACCGAGACGATCACATTGCCGTGCGTGTCGGTCCGGACCTCGTCCGCGAACGTGCCGGCGTACTCCCGCACGACGCGCTGCACGGGCTGCTCGTAACCCGAGGGGCTCGGCGACTCGAGGACCTTCTGGAAGAACTTCTTGGCGGCGGGGGTCATTGGCGGAGGGGTTAGGGGCCAGGGGCTGAGGGGTTGAGGGAGCGGCGCTGCTAGCAGCGGGGCGGCGAGCCGGGAGCGTTAGCAGGATTATGCAATGGCTAGCAGTGTGAAGTCGGTTCGGCGATGTAATCCAAGAAGCGTTAGCGCGTTGTGTCCCCCTCCCACTCGTGGGGAGGGGCTAGGGGAGGGGGGCGAAGCGGGTACCCGGATTCTCCCCCCTCCCCCGACCCCTCCCCACAAGGGGGAGGGGAGTAAACGACGCTAACGCGTCTGATAGTTCATCGAACTTGCAACAACTGACTGCTAGCGATTGCATAATCCTGTGACGCTCCCGGCTCGCCATCGTCTGCGACGCCGACTCTACCAAGCCCGTCGCCGGGGTGAAACTGCGTCGACCTTGACGATTCGACTCAATGCGCCGGCCTGTGCCGCCGATTCCTGTAACCGAGCGCGGGCTGTTTGTGGCCCCGCGCGTGCTAGTCATGACATCGGCGCCGGCAGGGATTGCGGGCGTCGGCGTGCCCCTTTGCGGGAGCTTCCAGGGATGGCCCTTACCAAATCACGACTCGAATCCTTCGTAGCGATCGCCGCCCTCTGCGTCGCGGCGGCCTCCGGCTGCGCGGTGATGCGCCCGGGCTGCGGCTGCGCTATCGGTAGTGCCTGTGGGGCCGAAGTCGGTTGCGGCGTTGAGCCCGGTTGCGCCGTCGAACCCGGCTGCGGCTGCGGATCGATTTGTGGCTGCGGCGGCCGGGCTTGGGCCGGTAAACTGTGGTGCGGCGACGGCGGCTGCGAAGGGGGCTGCGGCCCCGTGAAGCCCCTGATCAACGTCTGCACCGGTCCCGATTGTTGCGGCGGTTGCGATCCCGGTTGCGGTTGCGAAGCCAGTTGCGGCGTTGAAGTCGGCTGTGGCGTCGATCCCGGTTGTGGGTGCGGCGTCGGTTGCGGCGACACGTGCGGCGTAGGCCGCTGCGGTTGTGGCGTGCTGCAAACCGTCGGCTTCGGCCTGCACGCTATCGGACAAGAAGTCGGCAACATCCTCCGGCCGATCGGCGCGCCACTGGGCCTGTGCTGCCCGTGCGGCAACCGTGGCTGCGGCGGTTGTGGCGACTTCTACTGGAGCGAATGGCACAGCGACCCGCCGCGCTGCTGCGACCCGTGCGACGACTGTGGCAACTGGGTTGGCCCCAGCGACCCGCGCAGCATGCGGGCGCCCTACAACCACGAGTTCGCGCCGCGCGCCGCATCGCTGCCCTCGACGGAGATGATGGTGCGCTGAACGCTTTCGACGTGCCAAAGGTTGTGATTGTAGGAGGCGTCTCCAGACGCCGATTACGGTCTCCTGGCCGAATACGGCATGGAGCGCGAAATCGGGGTCTGGAGACCCCTCCCACAAGCGACTTCGTCGCAGTTTGCCGTCCAGCCTAGCGGCGTGCGAAGAGTCGCTTCGCGTTCGCGGTCGTCTGCTTCGCGAATGCGTCGAACGCCTCGCTGCGGACCTCCGCCAGCAGCCGCGCCGTGTGCGCGACGTGCCCCGGCTCGTTCCGCTTGATCTTCCGCACCGGTTCGGGCGAAAGGTACGGCGCGTCGGTTTCGACCAAGAGACGATCGAGTGGCACGGTCTTGGCGACCTCACGCAGCTCGTCCGACTTCTTATAGGTCACCATGCCGGCGAAGCTGACGTGGAGGCCGAGCTCGATCGCCTCGGTGGCGCCGGCGGCTGTGCCGGTGTAGCTGTGCATGACGCCGACGAGCGGCCCGCGCTCGCGCGCTTCGCGGAGCATCGCCAGCACGTCCGCTTCGCACTCGCGCATGTGGACGACGAACGGCAGGCCCGTTGCTTGTGACAGCCGCAGGTGGCGGTCGAAGTAGTCTTGCTGTTGCTCGAAGGGCGTCGAGTCCCAATAGCGGTCGAGCCCCGTCTCGCCGATCCCCACCACGCCCGGCTCATTAGCGAGCCGCACGATCTCGTCCCAGTCCTCGGGCTGCGCCTGGGCGACGTCGTTCGGCTGGACGCCAACCACGGCGTGCACCATCGGATGCGCCGCCGCGAGCGCCACGACCGCGCGGCTCGAAGCCGCATCGACGCCGATCGCGTTCACGTCGAGCGCGCCCATCGAGCGGGCGCGTTGGAGGACTTCCGCCAAGTCGTCGGCGAAGGTCGGTTGATCGAGGTGGGCGTGGGTGTCGTAGAGCATTGCTTGTGTTACTCAAGAACAACAAATAGCGAGCTATCCGTTTGGATGGCGAGCCGGCGACGTTAGTCGTCGGTGGAACTCGGTGCCCGCTTCACACCCACGATTAACATCGTGGGCTCGCCGTCACTCGTGATCGTGCGTCTCGCGTCACGCCTCAACCAAACAACCCGCGGCACGCCTCGTTCGCCACGCTCGCCAGCCACTCCGGTGCGAGACCCAGGAGCACGATCGGAGCGGCGCCGATCGCCAGCAGCAACTGCAAGGCCCGCTCGGGGCGATCGGTGGGCAGGTCGCCCGGTGGCGCGTCGAGGCACACCGTCTTCACGACTCGCAGGTAGTAGACCAGCGACAGCGCCGTGTTCAGCACGGCGACCACCAGCAGCATCGTCATCCAAGACCCGCCGGCGTCCACCAGCGCCCGCAGCGCCGCGAGCTTGCCCCAGAAGCCCACCAGCGGAGGCAGGCCCAAGAGGCCGATCATCGCCAGGCAGAGCGCCGTCGCCGTCACGGGCGCGGTGCGGATCAGGCCGGCGTAGTCGTCGATCGACTCGCTGCCGCGTGTGTTGCGGATGACGGCGACCGCGGCGAAGGCCGTGAAGTTGAGGAACAAGTAGCCCGCCGCGTACAGCATCACGGCGCCCGCCGCCGCTGAGGCGCCGGCGGGATCGTTCTCCGCGAGCGCCACCGCCGCGGCGATCGGCATCAACAGGTAGCCGGCGTGGGCGATCGTCGAGTAGGCGAGCATCCGCTTCGCGCCGGTCTGCGTCAGCGCCGCGAAGTTGCCAACCGTGCAGGTCAGCGCCGCGGCGACCGCGATCAGGCCGACGACGAACGACCGGGCCGGAGAAGCGGGGTCGGCCGTTGAGTGCGCGACAAGTTGCGTCGTCGCTTCATTTGCCTCGGCGTGGGCGAGCATGTCGAACGGCAACGTCAGCGAGACGATCCGCAGCAGCAGCACCA